CAGATGAAATAATGTCAATGTTCAAGGCTGAGCGACTGGCAGATTTCGGAGTGAGCACGAGTGGCCTTGAGACATTCTGTTTCTGTAGGTACTCAAAATAAATAAATTATCATGTTGTGTGCTTTGAGGTTAAGTGTTATCAGTGGTGCTTCATGGTTGTGCTTTGTTGTTGGTGTATAGGCATGTTTTGAGCACATTGCAGCATGATATTGGTGGTGTGTAAAGCAACTGATCTCCGCAGACTTTGCACTTACTTGCAAAGCCTGCGGACTGACTTTGCAGACTTTGGCTGACAATGAGCAATGCATTGCTGACTGATATCATTTATTCTGTGTTTGTAGCACAAAGTACAGAAGTGGCACATACATTGTTACTTTGAAAACCTGATGTGAATTTTGATGTAGAAAATTGGTGGCTGACGTTGAGTCCTGACGTATTGTGAGTAGTGTACATCTGGTGCATTGAGCGCAGACTTGAGACCAGTGACGTTTGTATCAGTAGACTGTGTTTGAGTCTACTTATATGGGTAGTCATAAAGCAGGCGTCACACTTCTTTTTGCAACCAAGGAGATGCGCTATACCCAGAGATGCTTTCTCACCAAACCTTACCAAACCAAACCTAACCTACAGCGCCTCTCTTCGTTCGTTCATGGTTGCAAAAAAACAAGTGTGACGCCTGCTATACTACTACCCTTATATGGCCTTGGTTTGAGTGTGGTGACTGAGTAAGCTGGTGTGTATAGCCATGCAATAAGTGTTTTGAAATATATTTTTGGGACAGTATTGAAATGGTGTGTTTTGGCCATCTGGCATGGATGATGGAAAGCCACTAACTCAACTTCAGGAACGCTTCTTCATTATGCTCATCTAAAGCACAATGATCTATTTTCTCTTCGCAAGGATTGATTCCTAATTCACTGTCAATTATAACCTGGGCCAGAAGGTTTCGCTGAGCCACAGGGTTCATACAGATTCATCCACAGTGCTCAGCAGTGTATGTTTTCAGATTTCAACAGACTGTATTTTTTTCTGTATGTACATATGCATCATGGCATCATGCAAGGGTACAACAGATGCGGTATTTGGTAAGCAGTTGGCAGCAAGGTGGTGTTTGTACTTATTGGCAGAACTAGTTGAGCAGGACTAAAACTATCCTAGTTTCTCTCCAGTTTACTCAGATCCGTCTCAACACATTGAACATATTGAAAGCGTTCATCCATGAAATGTCTGCATGTATACTCATTTCCGAGAAGGCACGCTCGTCGCTCATCCATTGCCGAGCAGGCATGTGCGTGCCCATCGCCGGCGCGCATTAGCGCGCGTCCATGGCTGGGGCGCACGCGCGCGGCCATGGCCGGCATGCACGCGCGCGCGCCCATCGTCGGCACGCAAGCGCGCGCCGCGTCCTTACCCGGCGAGCACGCCGCGTCCGTACCCGGCGCGCACCCGCGCGCGTCCACAGCCGGGGCGCACCCAAGCGAGTTCGTACCCGGCACGTACCGGCGCGCACCCGCGCGCGTCCGTACCCGGCCCGCACCCGCGCGCGTCCACTGCCGGCACTGACAGACCCTGACAGACGGGCGTGCTGCCGTCGGCGGTCCTGACAGATGAGCGGCGGGCCCGGCTCCCGCAGCTCCGGCAGCGGGCGGCAGCTCCGGTGACTGTTCCGGCAGCTCCGGCAGCGAGCGGCGTCTCCGGCAGCGCTCAGCAGCGGCGCCAAGCAGCAGCAGCGGCTGAGCCAACAGGCGGCCGCGGAGGCACGCCCCCCCCCCCCCTTTGCACATTGTTCGTCCATGGAGATGTCTGCAAGCACTCCCATTGTTGAGAAGGCACGTGCATCCATGGCTGAGCACTGAGCAGGCACGTGCGACCCCTTTGCACATTGTTCATCCATACATATCAATATAATTTACCTTATGATTAGTGTGAGTCTTACAAAATCTTAAACTCAGAAATACCACAAGGCAGGCTGCCTGGGTGAGTTGCTAATATGAACATAATGAACATTATACATTAGTGCAGTACCTATAAGCATCCATGCTGTGTGAAGGACTTGGCCCTCACGTTCATTCGTTTGGTGATTGCACATGGTGGCATGTGTACCAATTGTACTCCCTAACCCTTCTTACAACTTTGACTAGCAAGTAGAAGCTGGCAAAATGCAAGGAGCTTACAAAGCATGCCTACCTATATGTAGATAACTGAGGATGATTCTCTCAATTGAAGCATGATCCGCACTCAGCAGCTTCTTCTGTTCTGTTCCACAAACTAAAACTGAAATGCCTCAATTTTCCTCAAAATATATTCATTTATCACTCATAAACAACAAAAATATACATTAAGTAGGTACCAGGGCAATAAAAAACATACAAGTTACATATTTTTTCATGTACCGTCCTTTCACAGCAGCAATATGTAGAAACGCACCAAGACGTTCACGGAGAGCCCACCCATAACAAACTATAGTTGAAGCCGGGGCTCTGCTGCAGCAGCAGGGGAGACGTACAGGACACAGAGGTCATGTCACAACATCATGTTGTACAACCTGTTGTTCGAAAAAAACAGATCAACATAGATCTTGAAAAACTGTAGGTAGCGCTTTCTTCAGTCACTTAGGTAAGCTTTCTCGCAAGACGTTACATTAGATTGACCACTCTTGACAAAATAATTAGATTGAAACTTAGCTCTTGTGCCTGATGCACTTACATTTCAATTTATTGAAATAAAACACTCAAATTTACCCTTGAAAATTGTTGACATTTAAATGATATTAATCAAGATTTGATGATCAGCAAACAAGCTCAAGCTATTCAAATCACACCCAAATCAAAATAATAACTTTGGCAATGTTGATAACTCTTGCTGTCTTATTGAAAAGCAAATCTTCAATTTGTTCATATCCAAATTCAATGCCAAGCACTGAAATCTTGTTGCAAGGCCCTAAAAACAACAGACAAAAACAAAACAGACAAGGCCAGGGTTGCCAGATCCAGAATGGTCCTTATCGCCAAATTCGCCCCTCGAATTTCGCCAAAATTCGCCAAATAGGATGCACTGTATCAGCATACGTAGCAGCGCAAGATGGCGTTCGTGTAACCTTGTTCACGATTCGTTTCAAAGTTCACGATTTACCTATCTCGTTTCTCATATTCATAACAGCATACCCTCGCCGGCACAGGCCATTTTGAGTCCTTCGAGGGGGGGGGGGGTATGACCCCCCTCGCGTTTGGCCCCTGATGGAGCTAGAGCTTCGCGGAAAAAACGAGCGTGCTGCCCGTCACGAGAGGAAGCCAATGATACCCAATTTTAAGGTCCTAGGTCATCGGTTAATGACCCTAAAATCGGGAATATCGGGACCTGTTAGAAAGTCGTAAAGCGTGGCTGCTAAGGGGTTTTCCGGGGTGCTGATCACGAATATCGTGTTAGTTTTGATCACAGATGATGTCGTTAAGCGTTTAGACCAGGTCGGGTCAGGTCAGCTCAGGTCAACCGGTAGGGGCAGTGACGGGTGCCTATTCGTAGTACCTGTCACCCGCCTCTGACAGCTTCGCAACATGTTACAAAGGCACCAAAACTACTTCGTTAATGTTAATGTGAAACAGTCAAATTCGCAACACGCCAAGCAACCGTTCCCGCCATTCCCGCAACACGCCACAAAGTTGTTTACAAGTAAGCAGAAGATATTTTCATCTGGAACATTTTATATTTGAGTGCCTAATATGAAACGTTGGAAGGTTAATCAGATAAGTACGAAATATTTCGTTACGGTTTTTTGCTTTGTTTTGTTTATTTTTTAAAATAATATTCGGTGATTTGGAGGTGAACCCTGGAAATTCGCCAATATTTGACGTTTTATCGCCTATCGCCAAACGCCGTGCTTCTATCGCCAATGACTTTCAAAATTCGCCAAATTGGCGACATATCGCCAAGTCTGGCAACCCTGGACAAGGCCCGTCTTGTGCAAGGCCATCTATAGAAGGTACAGTCACTCCCCCGCCGACCAATCAGAGACAGATCCTGAGTGACGTCATCCCTGATGCTCGCAAGGGGTACTCCATTCCTTTGCAACGTAAAAATGACTAATTTCATTTGAAGATTATTGATGGCACTCTACACATACCGCTCAACCGTTGATGTCAATGGAAAGCCCAACTAATTTTCTAGCGACAAAAAAGAGCAGCAATATGCTAAGAAATGGTCGGTTTTGAAGATATAGACGATTTAAGAACCCTCTGCAGCAGCAGGAAAGCAACGTAAAAATGCATCGAGCTTATATTTTTTCTACGAATAAATCATTTTTCAGTAAGTTTTTAAATATGTTACAGATTTAGGTTACAACTTTATTACAATATTTTCATTATTTGAAACTTTATTTAAAAATAATATTTTCAAAAACACTAGCTGTTGGCAAGTAGCTTGGCAGCGATTGTGGCGCACCGCGCCATTAATTGTCCTGAGACCCCCTTATGATGTCATCAAAAGTGGAGTGACATGGGCCTGGTCTTGTGGAAATCGACAGTGCGGTGCCGCGGCCTTGGCGAAATTTCCCAAGGCTGCTCTTTGTTTACATTTTAGTGATGGGCCAACTTGGCCGCCCAAGTACTTGTTTTGCGTGAGTAAGTACAATTTTGTCAATTTTGAAACGGCTATATCTCGCAAATTTTGGTACCGATTTACATTTTATGCATATATTTAGAATCGGCAGAGTCTGGGGAGTTCATTGATTGGAAATTTATGCCGATTCCTTTCAATTTTTAAACCCTGATAATCCCTTTAAAGTTACGATAAGATAGAAATATTTTCGCGCCTGTTCATGAAACAAACATCAGCATGACGGCATCAGGAAATGGACCATCGTTGCTATGCAACCGGAAGTTCAACCAGTGGTTGCTTGCAGGTTGCTAGGCAGTTCCCTATTATCTAAGTGATACGGTTACAGCATTGAACAGTACTCCTTCACCTTTTACATTTCTCCTGAGTCTTCTAAGCACGGTGATAGCCAAGGCCAGTGTTTTTATATACCTTGGCCAAGGCCCTATATCATGGTCATAGCCAAGGTCATAGCAAGATACCTATAAGAAACGGTCATAGATCCTCTGAGTGACAAAGTAATTTGAAGTGTTGGACATATTCATGGAGTAGTTCTAGGGCTCTAAAATCAAAATATATGCTATGGATATTGTGGTGGGGTGGCGTACCTTGACCTCAACCTATATTTTGTGCAGAGCTTTGCGTAAAAGTACCTAGTCATGGCCATATAACAAGGAATGTAGTATTAAAATGTGTTTCGAGGCTCTTGGAAGACAAAGATTCTATGTCTTCCGGCCAATACCATTCCATAACCGGCATAACCGCAGCCAAGCCCCCAATGACCTTGAACAGAGTCGGCGGGACGATTTAGAATCTTCACCGTCCGAAAGACTCTGAACATGGGTTTAGTGTGTTGCAGCTTCAAACTTCTTTTTGGTTCTCATTCTCACATACTATATCATTTGACACATTGATTTTGTGATAAGTTTGAGTTAGCAACAGCATTGCAAATGGAATGGAAACCTGGTTTTTATTTAGGGAAACCTTTTAGCAGTATTATGTGGTATCCCCCCCCCCCCCCAGCATCTGAGCCTGCTTTTCTGGATTGGTCTGTGACAGTGCTAAATCAAATGGATGTTTGAGGCAATATCAATTTCAGTCAGGAGGTTATGTCATAGTTTACTGCTCCTGCACCAAATTGCACCACATTGTAAGAAAACAATCAGCTGACCAATCTTAAAGATTTCCATGGTAATTATCTCATGCTAGTTGTGTCTGCTGTCCAGGCCTGCTGGTCCAGGGCCAGGCCACAACCAGGTCTGTTGGTTGTGTCCTTTGTCATAGTCTTCTAAACTTCAGACTCTACATGTGTTATCTTATTTTCCCATTTGTATGATGCACGTGTATGATTTGTAGTAGGCATTTATGTATTTATTGCTCCTCCCTCAAGCAGGCTATTTGAACCACTTTAACTGACATGACTGGAGGACTCTTAACTACTCCTTTTCATCAAACCCATTCCTATCTCCAACCTCTCCCCTACTATGTGCATAACTGAAGTGAATGAAGCAGGCTAAGTGTTACCTGTTTCTTTCTTCATGAAATCAATCAGATATCCAATGCTGATTACTGCTAACAAGATGCTTTTAATGCAGATTTACCCTTAGTACCCGACACCCGTGGCCATGCTTTTTCCCCACAGAGAGTCTAATCATGGCGTCGCGGCCGAACCCGTCCAACAAGCTGGCCGAGATGTCTCGGCAGCAGGAGCTGATCGAGCGGCGCCGCCAGGAGATCGAGCAGCGCCGGCGGGCGGCGGCCGGTCCGCGCGGCGGCGGCGGCGGCGACCGGGGGCGGCCGGCCGACTCGGAGGCCGCCCCCGGCCCGTCCGGCAGTCTGAGCGCCGGCAGCAGCGCCCGCAGACTGTTTGAGGCGCACAAACAGAGGTGAGCCGCCGGCCTCCACCCGGACTGATCATCGCCGGACCAAGAGGCCTCTGTAGGAGCCTCGAGAGAGCTCACCAGCGATAATTCGGTCGGCTCAGCGCAGTCTCTCTTCAATTTGTCAAAAAAAAATCAGGATAGTGTGCAGTGATGTTTTGATGTTCACTGTTCTTTCACTACCTGTTATCGTCTTTGAGAACGATGACTTTCATGGCTTCTAACTATTGACGCTGCCGCCGTGCCGCAGTTTCTTGGCGACTCAGAAGAAGGCTCCTCCCGCTGAGCCTGCACCGCCAGCCCAGAAGCCCGACGGGCCATCTAACGTCTTCCAGAACGATGGCAGCTTCATGGAAATGTTCCAGCGAATGCAAAAAGCCCGTACGTAGCGCAGGAGCGGTCGCGCATTTTAAACTATCTTCACTAAGCTGTACACTTGTACATAATCGACACTTATGCGTTGATAGGGACATGTCCGGCGGAATAAGTGACTCGATATGGTGTGGGATGTGCGCGCCGCGCGATTACAGATCTGTGTCTGTGCTGTACCCCCCACCCCCACCTTACCGCTGCCCCCTGTGATAGCACTGACAGCCGGTGGGTGCGCGCTGTTCAGACTCGGTCCGGCCACCCCTCCTGTGCCGCTGCCCCGTGTGACTGATACTGACAGCCGGTGGGTGTGCGCTGTTACAGACGCGGCGGCGGTGCCCCCGGCTCCAGCGGACCGGCCGGCCGGAGCGGCTCAGCACACACCGAGTACGTATTGGCGGTGGGCGGCGGCGGCAGCGGTAGCGCGGCCCGGCGCGGCGGCGCGTACACCGTAACTCACAGACTCGCTAGTCTCGTCTGCAGTTGGCGGCTCTGGACGGCAGGGGACGGAGCAGGCGGCGGCCGGTGGATGGACGGCAGCGCCGGGCGGAGCGCTGCACTCGCGGCGGGAGAGGAGCCCAGCAGGTGAGCAGTAAAGGCAGCGGCCAACGGCCCGAGCTGGGCGGGGGTGATCGGGGTCCTAGGTACGGTTGTTACTTGTTTACTATGACTTGCTGACGTCGATGCTGCTGATGTAATATGACTTTGGTATTGTTCAGTTTGTTAGTATCATATCGAGCAGAGTTGAAGGTGTTGGTGCACCAGTAACTTTCATGGTGATAAGCTGTGTATTCTCGCTGGAATAGGGCCCAACGGTTGTGTATCGTGATTTTGCGATATGATTATCTCATATGGTTTTTCCCGTCATATTCAACTTCCGTGATATGCCTATTTCAACGACGAATATTAATTTCTTTTCACGTGCTTGGGGTACATCTCGCTTGGTCCGGTAAATGACGTGTCAGCTTTCAGAACCTCGGCGCCCGTCTGCCTCAGCGCGGTGTGGCCGACAAGGGTAATTTCGAAGGTGTAAGACCTTTTAAGGTGTAAGGCCATGGCGTGGCCTATTCCGCTTTAGTCAATTTTGGTGTTTAACAATTATATGCGGTAGCTTTCACATAAAAGTATGGATAGGTCAGTTCTGTATTGCTGGAAACTAGTGTACTGGAAACTTAAGTGATCTGCGGCGAATCGGCTATACATATACATATATGAAGGTATACCCCGGTTCCGAAAACGAAATGCCAGCGTAGATAAGTTAAGCATAAGTGTTCATGAGAGTATGTGCTGTAGTTCCGACGTTCTCCGTGTGATTGTAATACCGTCGCGGCTGGGCGCTGACATGGTCTGTGCGCGCTCGATGGTCGCGTTCGCCCGTGACGCCGCGGCCGGCCGCCCCGTGTCACCAGACGGCTCCGGCGAGCCCCCGCGTAAGAGGCGCAGCCGCTGGGGCTCCGAGGAGGAGCGGGCAGACGTGCCGCCCGTCGGCGTGGCCACGCCCACGCCCTCAGTCGGTACGTACCGCCATGCCCACGAGGCCGGTCACTAATTCCGCCGTTAAAACTAACTGCGGCTTGCAGGCGTCTTTTTGCTGTTTTGTTTGTCTTGTGTCTGAAAAAATCCCCTGTTTCACTTATCATTTTGGAATGCCTGTCATGTGGCGAGGCTGCCTGGTCTAAGTGGTAACTTGCAGCTGTGCTGAGATTTAGTTTCAGCTCTTTGCCAGGCCTTTTACTGATAGACTGAACTGTGCTGTTCGCAGCGTTCACTGTCGGTCTTACTGGGGCGAGTCTGGTCTCCTGTGTACAGTCTAACCTATGCTGTTGTTTGCAGCGTTCCCTGCCGGTGTGGCCGGGAAGTCTCCGGAGCTGATTGCCTACGCCAAGCGCGTGTTCGGTAACGTGGATCTGATGTCCGAGGACCAGTGGAAACAGTGTGACGATCAGATGAAGGTAACAATAATCATCGACGGCCGCTCACCGGGCCAGTCTCGGGGGCGGCAGTAGGTGACACGCACTTCTGTGGTTTTATTGCATGTTGAATTTTTGGTAAAAGCTGCAAAGAAATGTTCAAGTGATAACTATAACCATTATCATACCTATGATTAGACGGTAATTTTTCAACATTTGCTTTTCAACATTTCAACATTCAACAACAACATTTCAACAACATTTCTGTGATGGTTAAACCCGGACAATTCACTCGTCCCCCGATGTACGATTTCATTAGAACACTGCAAAGGAGCCAAATGTCGATAGTGTGCTGTCGGTGGTGCTCAGTTTCGCTCGGCTCGTATTCGTATCCTGTCCGAGTGAGACAGCGAGCGTCAGTTCGACCTCTGCTCCGTCCCACCCACATTTAGTTCACACACGGAGCCGGCACTGACCGGTCCTGAGTTGACACACAAAGACACCCTCATCTTACACACGGGTCGGGCACTGACCGAGCCCGCCGTCGGTCCGCAGATGAACGTCCTTCTGGAGGACATCAAACGTAAGAAGGCCGAGAGCGAGCGGCTGGCGCAGCGCGGAAAGGTCAAATACGAGTACGACTCGGACGAGGAGACCGACGGAGGCACCTGGGAGCACAAACGGTACGTGCCAGGAGCACAAACGATACGTGTGGAACTCTCACGGAGCTTCCGGCAAGTTCAGACCTCACAGCTGCTGCGAGTCTATTGTGACCCTCATGGACAGAGTGTATCTGTATGTCTCAGTCTGTCCCTCGCTTTCCAGTGTATATGTTGGGTTATTTCCGTACATGTTCTGGGCTAGTGTGGCGCCACCTCCCGCTGGGTGCGCCTCTGAGCAGCCTCTCGCTGAGCGCGCCACTGCGACCGGCGCGGCGGCGCGAGGTCGCGCCACGGCCCCGGGCGGGCGGTCATTCTGGACCGGGGAGCCGCCACGCGCGGGTGCTGCCGCTGGTGCTGCTGCTGCTGGTGCAATGCCTGTATTGAGCACCAATACACGACTGATGGATACGCTGCCTGTGGCCTAACATTGGCGCGGTCAAGGTAAGCTCATTTACGCTCCCTACTTTTGAGTTATGCTTGTTTAAACAATAACCGTTTTAGCAGCTCTTATGCTATCGATTTACGATAGATGAGCTCTTAGCCTACGACCTGAAATTTGGAAAAGGTGCAGTCGTTCTCGACCCAGATTTTGCTGATTTCAGGTCGATTATGTTAGGCAAATATTAAATCACGCTGAGGCACTGGCAGCGCCTACAGCTCATAAAGCACAGATAGCGTGGTCGTTTAAGACACGATTTTCAAATTATCTGGTTTTGTCATTGCATAACGTATCGTTGGGCGATACGATCATAGGGCTATATAGCGTTGTCGTTGCACGACACGATTTTCAAATTACCCGTTGGTCATTGCATACCGTATCGTTGGACGATACGATCATATTTATTAGTCGTCGTTCATACACTGCCCAAAATGTCGAACGAACTGTACTCAAAAATTCACAGCACAACAAAATTTAGCGGACGCGAGGAGGGAAATTGGGAAACGTGGATTTTCCGTTTTGAGACGCGTTTTGGTGACTTGGAGAAGACAAAACTAGCAACTGCCCTGCTCGACTTGCTGGATGGTGCTGCTTTGGACGTTTGTGGGAACTTGGACAAAGGAGCCAGGAGCGACTACAAGGAACTTAAGGGGGCCCTACAAAATAAATTTGGATCTAGCTGCGACACGCGACGGGCTCGGGCAAAGTTGCGTTTTATCCGTCAACTGCCTGAAGAGAATATAGAATCATTCGCTGATCGCGTCCGAAAACTCACAAGCCTGGCACACCCGGGGTTATCCAGTGAACAGGTGGATCATATAGCGCTAGATCACTTCCTGTGTGGTCTGAGCGATCTTAAGCTTCAAGAGAAGCTGCACAATGACCACACTGTGCTGTCGCTTCAAAAAGCGGAGGAAGTCGTCCAAAGACTTTGGGAAAAGGACCTCACTCTCGCCGTTATGCGGGCGTCCGCTGGTCATGACACGACGGTGGCAATTTCGGCTAAAGAAATGCAACCCATTGAGGGTGGACAGGCACCAGATATTCTGACCATCCTTGGAGAACTCCGGAGTGAGTTGAATGAAATGAAAGTCCAGGTGACCGAGCACTGCAAACCAACCGACAGTAAACGAGGCGTTTGTTACCTGTGTGGCGATACCACCCATTTCAAACGCGATTGTCCGCGGTTTTCAAACCGACAGAAACGGACAACACGGTCCGTTGCCCCGAGGGCAGCACCGAGCGCGATTCCGCCCGGTATTCCCTGCCAGGGTTGCGGAAGGCACGGCCACGCGCTTCACGAATGTTGGAGAACGCCAGTCGCAGCAGGGGGCATCGCTCCCTCGAGCCCCGCACGCGATAATTCTGGCGCTGTTGGGAACACTACAGCAGTGCCTGGTCAAGAAGCAAGCCCCAAACGCGCTTCAGTGATCAAAATCGAAGTCGAAGGACGCAGTGTATGGGCCCTCGTTGATTCCGGAGCCGATGCGTCATTGATTGGACAAGAATTCGCCCGAGCGGCTGTACAAAAAGGAGCGTCCCACAAAGGAAATTTTGGAACAATAACGCAGGCAAACGGGCAGAAAATACAGGTCACCACACAAGCAGAAGTGTCGTTCTCGATACAAACCTCGCAGTTCATCCAGCCTATGTTGGTCATTCCAGGCTTGATCTACCAGGTCGTTCTCGGCCGAGACTTCTGCTGCCAGCACAAAACAGTGCTAGATGACAGGGCAGGGGTTTTCAGAGTGGGGAACGTCGAGATTCCTTTACCAACATATTCTGAGTTACGACCGCTACGAGCAAGGGTGGTCACTTGTGCCTCAGTCACCATCCCCGCTAGGTCTCAGACCCTCGTTCAGGCCGAGGTCGAGATCCCAGATGGAGGCGTTAAAATCACTAAAGAAGCCACTTGGGAGGGTGTTCTAGAACCTCACTCAGTTGAGAGCAGCCAAGAGTGGAGGGTCCCTCGTTTAGTTACAGAAGTGACGAGCGAGGCAACCGTGCCGATTCAGGTCGCCAACATCGGGGGCAAAGCAGTAACGATCCCTCCAGGCACAGAAATCGGTACACTGTACTCTATTCAAGAAAATGGCAAGGGTATGTACGACGTCCCGAGCTCTTCAGCGGCTTCAGCTGAACTCAGTGCAGGGACGCTCGATGATCTCTTAAGCGAACTAAAACTCGAGTCTACTGCCCTTTCAGAGAGTGGCAAGACCTCGCTAACACAACTTGTGTCACGATACCAGGATATCTTCAGCACAGGAGAGTCCGACATTGGAAAAACAAAGCTTCTACAACATCACATCGAAACTGGAGGCGCGGCTCCGATCCGACAAAGGCCACGACGGATCCCAATGAAACTAAGAGAAGAGGTGGAAAGACAAAAGGAAAAGATGTTGAAAGAGGGAATAATCGAGGAGAGTTCCAGCCCTTGGTGCTCACCCATCGTTCTGGCCAAGAAAAAAGACGGCAGTTTCAGATTCTGCGTCGATCTTCGAGCAGTGAACTCTGTCACCCAAAGTCTGCCAGTCCCTCTCCCGAGGGTGGATGACAGCCTCGACAGCCTCGCGGGGGCAAGCCTGTTCTCCACCCTCGACATGGCCTCAGGCTACTGGCAGGTTGATGTCGCTGAAAAAGACCGAGAGAAAACCGCTTTCAGCACGGGAAAGGGCCTGCACCACTTCCGGTCTATGCCTTTCGGCCTCAAGAACGCTGGAGCCACGTTCCAACGACTGATGGAACTAGTGCTGGCTGGAATGGACTCAAAAAGCTGCCTGGTGTACATAGACGACATTATTGTCTTCGGAAAGGATCAAGACGATCATCTCAAGAACCTGGAGGAGGTCTTCCAAAGGATCAGGACAGCAGGGATGAAACTAAAGCCAAGGAAGTGCTGTCTAGCCCGCGACGAGGTAGTATTCCTCGGACACAAGGTGGGGAAGAGCGGTGTGGAGCCAGACCCAGCAAACATAGAGAAGGTGCGTCACTGGCCTCGACCACAGAAAGCCGAAGAGCTGAAGAGTTTTCTAGGGCTCGCAGGATACTACTCGCGATTCGTGCCCAACTATTCTGACCTCGTGCGACCCATCAGAGAAGCTGCTGAGAAAAAGGGTACTGTAGAATGGACTGAAGAGCTGGTGGAAAGCTTTGAAAGCACTAAAACGAAGCTGACGTCGGCGCCAATCCTCACCCTGCCAACCTGCAAGGGCGAGTTCAAGGTTGCAACCGACGCCTCCAATACTGCAGTCGGAGCGGTGTTGACGGAGACCATCAACGGCGATGAGAGGGTGATCGCCTACGCCAGCAAGGTGCTCAACAAGAGTGAACGTCGATGGCCGACGTATGATAAAGAACTTTGGGCAATTGTATGGGCTATTAGACATTTTCGCCCATATTTGGCTGCCACAACGTTCACGGTGATGACGGACCACAAACCGCTCAAGAACATTCCCCGCTCGATCAATGTCGACGGAGACGCCACGGGGCGACGTGGCAGATGGGCAATCGAACTCAGCACATACGACTTTGACGTTCAGTACCGAAAGGGCAGTGACAATGGCAACGCCGATGCCATGTCACGACAGAACGCCGATTTTCATCCTGAGGTCGAAGAAGCCATGACCGCAGACCACGAGGCTGTGACAGACGCGATGAACACGGAAAAGCTCAGACGTGAGCAGGACCTTGACCCCATTCTTGGAGAGGTGAAGGAGTGGTTGATGACAGGACGACTCCCTCCGAAGAAGGAAATTCGAAAACGAAATCGAAACCTTAGAATAATGGCTCGATTGTTCGACCAGCTGACGATAGAACAAGGCGTCATGAAACTGAAACACCAAGAAAGAGACTGTCTAGTCATTCTCCTGCCCCGCACGTATCGGGAAACAGTTCTGAGCATGCTGCACGACGACAAGACGGCAGGACATCTGGGCACCAACCGCACGCTTGAGAAAGTAGCGGCCAGGTTCTTCTGGCCCGGGATGGGAAAGGACGTGGTCCATCACTGCGAAACGTGTGAAGCCTGCCAGCGCCGAAGCAGACCAACACCACGGTTACAGGCCTCTCTTCGCACCGACGCCTATTCAAGACCATTCGAGAGAGTCGCAATTGACATTACCGAGATGCCGATGTCAGTACGCGGAAACAGGTATGCCCTGGTGGTGATGGACTACTTCACCAAGTATGTCTACACTTACGCCATGCCCAACCAGACGGCCGAGACGGTGTCCGATTGTTTACTGGACATGGTTCTACGGCAAGGCGTTCCTGAAAGGCTCCATAGTGACCAAGGTCGACAATTTGAATCGGCCGTCTTCCAGTCCTTGTGTAGGCGGTTGGGTATCGTGAAGACTAGAACGTCACCATACCGACCGGAGAGCGACGGTATGGTAGAACGATTTAACCGCACGCTCAAAGACATGTCGTCAAAATTCTTGAAACCATGCGGGTCCGACTGGGACGATCACTTGGCGTCTCTCACCTTCGCCTACAACACGTCAAAACATTCGGTTACCGGGTTTACGCCATTCTTCCTGGTGCACGGACGTGAGGCCCGCCTTCCAGTCGACGAAATGTTTGGCGTGGAAGGCAAAGTGTCGATTGTCGACACTTATGTCGAAAACAAATTGCGTCAGCTTAGACACGCCTTTGACAAGGTCGAGGAGAACATCGGCAAGGCCGCTCGTTACATGTCGGAGACGCACGAGAAATCTACGAGGGAAATACAGTACGAGATAGGTCAGAGGGTATGGCTGTTGGACCACACCAGTAACGTTGGTGGCAAGCGCAAGCTAGCCTTGCGATATAAAGGACCAGCAACTGTCTTGCAGAGGCAGGAACATCATGCCGAAGGAGTGACATACAGAGTCAGCATGCCAGGAGGGAAAGAAGTCAACGTCCATCACAATCACCTGAAACCTGTCAAGGTGCGGAAGAGAGACGACGCTGCAGAAGAACCAGCTACATACGACCGACGAGAGAGGAAGCCAGAGGACACGGTGCACACGCCGCCAGACACCGACATCATATCTAAGGAGAGTATACCACCTCCCATTTTCTTAAGAGTGTCCAGTAAGACAGGCATAGATCGGCCGTTACAGTCACCGGTCGGATATGTGACACAGTCTGGACGGGTGTCAAAGCCACCAGTGAGATACCCTAGCTAAGAATCGATTTTAGAGCTCAAGATTATTGCAATGCGATCCAAGTGTTACAAAAAAGTCATTGTCCATGTATTAAATGTTGTACGTGTTTTGATACGCTGATATTTCGCATACCGCCAGGCATGAGCCGCGTCACGCGCCAGACGACCCTGACGTGCTGATGCGGCTGTTCACTCGGCCACGGGCTCGCTGCAGTGGACGAACCGCAGGCCCGGACGGAGGCTCCCAACGCGGCTCAGCATTCTGCGGCAGCGCTATAGGCGTCAGCGGACGCTATCCCGAGTGGCGAGGCCGATTAACGAGGCCCGATGCTACTCGATTCGTCGATGCCGGGACCTTCGATTAAATTGTCATTTACTGTCGGCTGTCGCGGTTCAGTCCAGTAATTGTATGCAATACGTATAAATGTTAAGTTAGTTAAGTGGAGAGCGAACAGTACGCAAGAGTGTATTTTCAGACTGTGCATGTTTTATTCGCAGCTTGTATGCCAAAGCTTTATGGGGGGAGGTGTGTTGGGTTATTTCCGTACATGTTCTGGGCTAGTGTGGCGCCACCTCCCGCTGGGTGCGCCTCTGAGCAGCCTCTCGCTGAGCGCGCCACTGCGACCGGCGCGGCGGCGCGAGGTCGCGCCACGGCCCCGGGCGGGCGGTCATTCTGGACCGGGGAGCCGCCACGCGCGGGTGCTGCCGCTGGTGCTGCTGCTGCTGGTGCAATGCCTGTATTGAGCACCAATACACGACTGATGGATACGCTGCCTGTGGCCTAACATATACTCTGTCCCTAGATAGCGTGCAGTGTTCTGTAAGCCCAGCCGCTGTGTGTCTGATATTGTGTCTTGTGTAGCGTTACCTACTAGTCGCCGTTTGGCAGGCGCTGTGTCCGTCTCTTCAAGCCACTCGGGCCGTCGCTGTCTCTCCTTGTGTCTGATGTAGCGTCCAATTTTGTGTCCGGTGATAAGACCGTGTGTCCGTCTCCGGTGTGCCCGGTGTTGTGACCGTCTCTCCGTCTCCCGTGTATCCGCCAGGCGGAAGGCCGAGATGCTGGAGACCCAGCGGAAGGCCGACGAGCTGACCGCCATGAACGCCGGCAAACACCACATCGGAGACTTCCTGCCGCCTGACGAGCTCGAGCGCTTCATGGAGAAGTGGCGCGCGCTCAAGGAGGACCGCGAGCCCGACATGTCCGACTACAGAGAGTTCAAGCTGAAGGAGGACAACATGGGCTTCCAGATGCTGAAGAAGATGGGCTGGTCGGAGGGCCAGGGCCTGGGCTCGGACGGCGCCGGCATCACGGCGCCGGTCAGCCAGCGGCGCACCCTGGACACGGCCGGCGTGGGCACCAGCACAGAGGCGGACGTCACCAAGGAGGACACCGAGTTCGACGCCTACCGAAAACGCATGATGCTCGCATACAAGTTCCGGCCCAACCCGCTCAACAACCCGCGCCGGGCCTACTACTGAACGAGTGGGTTTGTACAGAGGGGACAGCTAACCAGTGGAGAGGGATACCCTGCCAGCAGCAGAGCCGCCGGCCGGTCGTCGTCATCCTGGGCTGCAGAGTCGCCGACTGAGATTCCACTCCAGCCCAGCCCGGCTGATGGTGCGGGCGCCGGCAGCCGCCGCACGGATCAGCCGATTTGGGGCGATACGGACAACAGTGACTGACAGAGAGCCATAGCCTTCAACACAGACCCTCGCCCGTGCACTGACTGCGGTGTGGCACACGCCTTTGTTTCGTTGTTTGCCCAGACGCTGAAAGGCGCCTACGATCACAGACTACACTGTGAAAGCCGTGCGGTATGCCGTGATGGCAGGACCGCCCCTAACTGTGCTGTGGGTCCGAAAAGGGGACGGCGGCCGAGCCCGGTGAGGTGCTGGACGGCGGGGAGGGACGGGTGGTGCAGGCCGGTGTGTAGGGTTCCCCGGCTCGTCACAGCTGAAGACCCACGGTGTTTCACCGTGCAGATCACTCGTCAGTCGTCTATAACTATAGCGTGCCACTGGGGCTTACCGGGCGTCCCGTGCCGCGCAGGATGGGCGCTTTGAGGACAGCAGGACAGGACAGCCCGGCGTCAGCAGAGATTGGAGCCTGGCGGGCGCCGCGATCGGAGTTGAGCAGAAGTTTTCCAATTGTGTGTAAAAGAATGGAACACTTATTTTTTCGTCATTGCCAGTGCCTGTTTGTTTATTGGCCTCGGATGAGTTCATTCCGCCGGTACGCGGCTTTTCCACACGCTGGAAAATGCGGTCGGAGGCAGCCCCTTTATTTTTCCCTGGGGAGGGGCGAATGGGACATCAGGTGAAAGACGCAAGAGTCGGGAATCTGTCCAGACTCCAGAACCCGTTCAGACGGAGCAGTGTCGGCGTGAATTGTCTGGAGAAATATATGGACCGGTCGGGGACGTAGGCAGGTGACTTCAGCTGGGTTTCTTCAGGTGATATAGTTCGTACTCTTCTCGGGAGATGTCGCTGGGAGCGCCGGCCATCAAGTCGCGCCCATCCGAGGACTTTGGGAACGCAATAACGTCGCGAATGGACGGCGCGCCCGCAGCCAGCGCCACCAGGCGGTCCAGGCCTGAAACATAAACACATCACAGTGAGACCAGCGCCATCAGGCAGTCCAGGCCAAAACACAAACGCATAAAAAGTTAGACCAGCGCCACCAGGCGGTCCAGGCCTGAAACACCAACACGTCAACGTGGTTTCCATCTCACAAGCCTCATCGAGGATGAGGCCGCCGATCTGACCGCTAAGCCATCCCCCCGCACCCCCTGGTCGTTTCCGCCGTTCCGTACCGAGTGCGATGCCGCCGTGGGGCGGCGCGCCGCTGGCCAGGGCGTCCAGCAGGTGCTGCAGCGGCGCCGTGTCCTCGCCCAGCACCGTCTGCAGCACGTGGCGCTGCAGCGCCGGCTCGTGGATGCGCATCGAGCCGCCGCCCACCTCCCAGCCGTTCAGCACCAGGTCAAAGTGCTGGCTGCGCGCCTGTTGAACACACACCGGCCCGGAACCGGGAAGGGACTGAACATTTCGGACGAAATAGAACCCACTATAGTCTGTTCCATGTCAAGCTTGCGGCCGAAGTGCTCTCCTGAAGGCAGTGCGTGATTTCTGTACATACAGCTCTTACCATTCAAAGACGCAAATTTGTTAACGGGGGAGCGAACTGTCAAGGGAACTCCGACCGCAAGCTTGATATGAGACAGACTAGTCCTGATCAAACACCAGCGTGAGTCGACCACAAGCATAAATACGTGTTTTGAAGCGATAACATGATGCTAAGCAGGAACGTAAGCTAAAATGAACTTGGTACATCGAACATTCAGCTTTTTAAAGCTACGTTGTCACATGTCAATGAGTCGGCAATGATCCATATCTTCCCTTGACAGAACCCATAGCTGCTGATGGCGCTAGAAGGGAGCCCAGAGCCAAGCCCAGAGTGGGTATAGCTGAGAGGGGATACCGTCCCTCCGGCTCCCACCCACCTGTTCGGGGTCCGAGTAGACCGCGTGCTCGTCCTCGGCGTGCGGCCGGGTGAACGGGTGGTGCGCCGACACCAGCCGGCCCTCCTCGCGCACAAACAGCGGGAAGTCGACCACCCAGAGGAAGTGCGGGCCGGCGCGGCGCACCGTCACGCCGGCCTCCTCCAGGGTGTCGGCCATATGGGTGCGCAGCCGGCCGAGCAGCGTGCGCGCGGCGCCCTCCGGGCCGGCGGCCAGCAGCAGCAGGTCGCCCGGACCGGCGCCGGCCGCCGCCGCCAGCCGACTGCACGTCTCCGCGCCCAGCGGGCCCGCCAGCCGGCCGCCCAGCCGACCGGCACCGTCCGCCGGCAGCGCCGACACGCCCGCCAGACCGGCCTGCTCGGCCATCCGGGCGTGCTGCGCCTGCACCGCCCGGCTGTGGTGGCGCTGAGAGGGCGGGGGGACGGGGACGTCAGGGGGCGACCGCGGCGGGACTGGGGCGGTGACACGTCCTAAGGCTCGGAGCGGGGACAATGGTTAACTCAGCCAAACTCTGGCTGCAAACAGGAACATCCAGCGTAACGAATAACGACACCTTGCCGTCATAACAGGAGACTGGCAGCAAATGACAACTGAGAAATAAGCCGAGCTTTTGAGACGATTCACCCCGAAAGGAGGGTACTCACTGCTCCGTCAGGCACCACCAGGGCGACGGCGGCACCCTCGGGTCCGTTCAGCTGCTTCTCCAGCACGTCCAGGCCGCAGGAGCGCAGCGCCCTGGTCACTGTCACCAGCTGCGGGCGCGGGGGGGGGGGGACGGCGTCAGCAGGAGGTCAGAAGTGGCAGAGGAGGGAGGAAGAGACAGACAGAGAGAGACAGCTAGATGGAGAAGTCAGGAGGCGTCAGTCTGAGACGGGTGTACGGCAACACATTACAGAAAGTCTGTCTGAGAGAGTGAGTTCCATTCCAAATCAATGATGGGTCCGCCGTACCCCGCTGTCAGTGCGGTCAGCTCACCCTCCACTTGAAGCGGACGTCGGGCTTGTCGGTGCCGTACTGCGTCATGGCCTGGCTGAAGGTGATGCGCGGGAAGGGCGTCACCAGCTCCTGGGGCCAGCAGCGGTGCAGCATGCCCTCCACCAGCGCCTGCACCTCCTGCTGGCTGGTGAAGCCCAGCTCCAGGTCCACCTGCGCGGGGAATATGCAGAGATAATGTGGTGTTCTGTGTCGGGACATGCCTACAAATAGCACATCATTGTCACTTGTATCTACAGAGCTGCTGCAGTAGTCATACGGCGAGCTGTGTCGGGCCAGACAGGTCCCGGGGCGCAGACTACCGACCTGAGAGGACTACCTCCACTGACCTGAGTAAACAACCTCTACCTCCACTGACCTGAGTGAACTACCTAACTCCATGACTGACCTGAGTGAACTACCTCCATGACTGACCAGAGTGAACTACCTCCAGGACTGACCTGAGTGAACTACCTCCAGGACTGACCTGAGAGGACTACCTCCATGACTGACCTGAGTGAACTCTGGTTGCCGGTCGGGCCGCGCGCCCTCGTCCCGGTAGCAGCGCGCGATCTGGAAGTAGCGGTCCAGTCCGCCGATGACGAGCAGCTGTTTGAACTGCTGCGGCGACTGGACCAGACTGTAGAACTGCCCCGGCGACCGGGTCGGCACCACAAACTCCTGAGCTCCCTGGGTGAGAGACAGCAAACGGACAGAGTCAGATATAGACAGACAGCGGCAGACAGTCAGTCCTACACAGTCAGTCCAACATAGTTAGGGGTGCAGCGAATAATCCACGGCCCTTACCTGACGAGCGAGGGCATCTTAGGATCTGTCGTGATTGACAATTCAAGTGAAGGCATAACACAGTAAGATCTGGGTTGTCACTCTCCTGTGAGCAGGAAATAACATCGAGAGTCCGAAGGGCAGAGCTGTGACGAGCGGGATGACTTGTGACCGACAGCATCGCGTCGTGGCGGCTAGTCAGAGTTCGACTGTTCGGGGTCCGCATAGTACAGAACAGACGGAACCTACACGTCAGACGGCCAGTGTACGGGACAGACAGTGTGAGAAAACCCGCAGCCGGGACTCAGTACCTACCCCGGGCGTCCTGCGAAACAGCGTCGGCGTCTCGATGTCCACGAAGTCGTGGTCTCTGACCAGGTACTCGCGGATCTCGGCGACCATCTGCGGCAGATGGCGGCCGGGTCAGGTACCGACAGCCCCGGAGACCTACACTGTATACTATTATTACACACTACACATATACACACCGGCCGGGTCAGTCACCGACAGTACCGGAGCCCTTACACACTGACCTTTCCGTAATGGCCGGTAATTCTCCAGCAATACATGCGCCAGACTGTCAGCTGGGGGGATCCAGAGCGTCGTAAGCCTCGTCGTAGCTGCGACGTGTCGCAAGTTGTGTAGTAAGTCGTTTTTGAAGGGATCATTTGATGAGTAGCGTTACTTAAGTAGTAAAGTCTATCGCAAATAGCCTGATTTGCGACACAACTTACGAATTTGAAATAGCAGTCGTAAGTTGTGTCGCAAGTTGACCTTGCCTTGAGGAAGAGGTCACAGGTCACAGGTCATTCGGGTCATGGTCACGAAATTTACATGGTAGGTGTAAAATTGTTTAAACTTTAGATCCTGAAAAGTTGGTTGCAATCCGTTGACGCTAACGCGAGTTATAGAGCTTGAACTGACGGGTCGTCTATGAGGCCTCAATCCGTGCCAGCGAGAGTGTTGAAAATGGTGCATAGTATGTTATATTCACATTTATTGGGGTATTCGGGGATATTAAGTAGCCGAACACCATTCCAGCAACTACTGGCGAATCCAGAAAGGCGGTCTTGGACGTTGCAAGGGGCATCCCCCAAAAGATTCTCCAAATTCCAAAAACGACGTGTCCCAGCTGACCCCGATGACCTCCAATGAGCTCTGTGATGACCCCAAGTTGACCTTTTTGACCTGGCCTGTCCCAGATGACCTCCGTGACATCCTATTGAGCTCTCTGATGACTCTAAGCTGACCTCTGTGACCTGACGTGTCCCAGATGACCCCCATGACCTCCAATAGAGCTATGTGATGACCCCAACATGACCTTTGTGACCTGATGTGTCCCAGATGACCTCCGTGACCTCCAATTGAGCTCTCTGATGACTCCAAGCTGACCTCTGTGACCTGACGTGTCCCAGATGACCTCCATTTGAGCTCTGTGATGACCCCAACTTGACCTCTGTGACCTGGCGTGTCCCATATGACCTCTGTAACCTCTAAGTGACCTCTATGATGACCCCAAGCTAACCTCTGTGACCTGACGTGTCCCAGATGACCTCCGTGACCTCCAATTGAGCTCTGTGATGACCCTAGGTTGACCTCTGTGACTTGACGTGCCCCCAAGTTGCCCTCTGTGACCTGACGTGTCTCAGATTACCTCCGTGGTCTCTAATTGAGCTCTGTGATGACCCCAAGCTGACCTCTGTGACCTGACGTGTCCCAGATGACCTCTGTAACCTCCAATTGTGACCTCCATTTACAAATTTCTTACCTCTCTGTGACCTCAAACTCTCGGAACTCATTTCTTCTAAAGCATCGATTCTAGATGCCCTATAGCCACGAATCTCCTGTGATCGATCCCAAATTTTATGGCAAATCACGTGAGCGTTAGCAACCACAAGTCACCCAGTTAATACAAAGCTTCAGAATCAGAGAACATGCTTGACCTTGCTGTCTCATAAGCTCGCAAACCAGAAAGGCGAATGTTCCTTTATGCGTGATAGAGTTTTCGACCTTACTGACGTTTACTACGGGATCAGCTGATCGTGTAGCCTTTTAAATTCTCGAGTAAAGCGGGTATTTAAGCCTCGTCGCAGCTACGTTCTGTCGTATCCTCCGACAAACCCCTCTTTCCTCAACATCCCTCCTTTTTCGCTACGACACAACTTGCGACGGGACATGTGTCGTAACTTGCGACGTGTCGTAGATGGACTTGCGACGCCCTGGATCCCCCCGGCCTCAAACTGACGGTTGCATTAAAGCACTTAATATGAACACCCATCACTCTATCCGCGTGACATTCATTCATTGATCCGGTCATAGATTTCTACATGTAGAGGTATGTAGAGGTCTTTATGATCCGGTCCTTCCTCCACAGACAAGGTCGACGGTTCTGGTGTGGCCGGTGGCCGCACTGTAGCAACTAGGGGCCTAGGGGAGGGATCCCAGTCTGACCTCGGAGCGCCGTCTGACCGAGGGGGAGGGATCGGAGCTCCGTCTGAGCGAGGGGGAGGGATCGGATCCCAGTCTGACCTCGGAGCGCCGTCGCAGGTTCTCCTGCAGCTCGGTGTGCCGCAGGTCCAGGTACCGGTACTGTAGGCGAAGCGCTTCCTTCGCCTGTGGGCAGATGGCGGGGTCAGCCTCAGCACACCAGTGGGGTCAGAGCACCGTCCGCCGGGGCTCGACGGCCTGCGGTCGGCCCCGGTACCGGTACCGGACGGCGGGGAGAGATACCACAGGGAGGGTACCTGGCTTACGCTGGGTCAGCGATACATAGTGATCTGGGCCAGGTACAGGCATCAACTGTGACCGCGTTTTCCACGAAAACAGTCCCAATGAGGACATTCATCATAATGTTGATTACAATGAACGGTGAAGAGAAGATGAGCTTCCGGAAAAAAAATCTAACACATTTGAGATGAGGTGCTTAACAGGATCTACGCTACGAGCGTACTCGTAGGTTAACTGAACACTCGCCCAAGTCGCACAGTCAGGGCGACTGGGCACTGAGCACCCCTGCTCGCGTCAGGGCAGCTGAGAATTAGTAGGCCTACAGGCTACAACTCCATTCTGTTCCGTCAGGGTGGTAAGGTATCACGTCTACGGCTCAGCACCTCTGTCCGCGCCAGGGCGGTCGCTGGGCACTGGCCTTGTTGAACGAGCGGATGTTGAAGGGTAGCTCGCGCTCCGGCTTGTTGAGCACGGTGATGTCGTGCGCCACGACCTCGATGTCGCCCGTCTTCATGTCCTGCAGAACAACCGAGCCAGGGTATTGTAAGGTTTGATATTGCGAGTACTCTCAATCAGGGCTGCGGAGTCGGAGTCGGAGTTGGAGTCGGTCGGAGTCGACAGTTCTGCCCGGAGTCGGAGTCGGAGTCGGAGTCGCCAAAATCCTACCGACTCCGACTCCGGAGTCGGAGTTAACGCTGCATGGCTCAGCGTCATGCACTGCACCTGTTTAATTGACGATACTGCGCTCGAAATTAGATTTTGTCCAAAAAAGGTCATTTTGCTGTTTTGGACGAACGTTTACAGCGAAGGAAGCAGAGGACGGTTAATTCCCCAGAACCTGCTTTTTAATTATCCATGTTATTTTTAATGCAAATTTGCAACGCAACCCCTTGGAAAGCACGTCAAGATATCGTTTCAGGCAAGATAAAAACATCTCCATTGTGAACTTCAATATCATGATATGTATTTTAATAGAACCGTCCGGAGTCGGAGTCGGAGTCGGAGTTGGAGTCGGAGTCGGAGTCGGAGTCACCCTAAAATCCATCGACTCCGCAGCCCTGCAGTCTCAATGCTCTTTCGACATGCCATTGACGAAACGTGTACTCATGTATTTCCGTACATGCAGCACATACAGCATTCCGTACATGCAGCAGCGGATAGCGCCCAGCGGAATCACAGCTGATCGCTGAGTCATCCGCCCCTGCCCTGGTCGAGTACCGTACCTGGTTCTGCTGGCCGTCCGGACGGAGACGAACGGCGCCGGTCACCTGAAGCACCGACTCCAGGGGCAGGCTGTCGACCAGCTCCGACAGACGACGGTCCTGGGTCAGAAAACAGCACAGACCACGGTCAGGCATGGGGCACAGACAGCAGAGCACAGACAAAAGAGCACAGAACAGTGACAACAGTCATGCCTGGGGCACAGACAACAGCGGCAGTGTCCAACAGCACGCGCATTAAGGGTATTAGATAAGCAGCCTATTCAGTCCTTCCTGCCCCGTCAGCGCCCTCCGCCGCCAGTGCCCACCTCGTCCGGCAGGATCAGCTGAGTGACGCCGTAGCCGTCCCTCAGGGTGATGAACTTTCCCATCCGTTTGAACTGGAGCCAGCCGCAGAGGCTGACGCTCCTGCCGGCGTCCTTGGCACGCAGCTGGCCGCACGTATGGGTCCGGTGCTGAAAACTGCCTGCGAACGCACAGCGGCGCAACGTCAACACTGCAGCGGGCATCAGCCGAAGAAATGTGGCGCTTGGTTCGTAAAAAGATTATAAGTTATTTTTTAAACAATGTTGTCAAAGCAGAAGTGAATCATCGTCGTAGGATTCACAAGTGAGTCTGCTCTCCCCCTCGCATTGAGACCCGCCCACTCCCTTTCCACCTGCCCCGGACCGTTCAGACGTCCCCTGGCGGTACAACCGAGTCCCAGCGCCCGGTGAGCGGACAGCCGGACAGTCCAGTCCCCCTACCTCTCCCGCTCTCCGGCAGCACTCACTAGCGCGGCGGATCGCGGCCGGAGCCGCCAGGCGCGGCTGCGCGGGCCGTCCGACCGGGCTCGGCCGCAGGCCCCGCAGCAGGCCGGTGGCCGCTGTGTCCGCCAGTCGCCATACGCGCAGAAGGCGGCCGGCCAGCATGGCGCCGCACTCCTGGGGACAGACGCACTGCACACAGAGGGTTAGCACACACTGGTTATCGTCCCATGACTCGTGAGTGGGATTAAGGAACTCGTCAAATGATGCTGGCAACTCATGAGTCATGACAATACAGTTCCAGCCTTCAGGAATCAGGGCATGTGTAGAAATGGATGAATAAATGTGTGCACAAATTCCCAGACTTGTCCAGCAGTTGAACTACTTGTTCCAGACCTACTTGTCAAAACCAGCCATGCAAGTGAGGCCTAACTACTCTAGGTAGGTAGCCTCAGTCCCATTTCCCTTCCAAGTTCATTTTGAATGACAGACAGATTGAAAAGGCGTATATTTTCAATGACAACAAAGCGCTCAACATCTGCAACACAACAATCCCAAAATCATGACAGATCACTTTCAATTTGCATGGGCGTAGGAACTGCTGGAACATTGTGGGTGCATGGGTGCAGAAATCCAGCCATGGCTGGTGAAGCGGGGGGGGGGGGGGTAGGTAGCGACACCCGAGCGAAGGCTCGTTACGAGCTTTGCTTTGAGGGGGACTGTATACCATGTCGAAATGGTACCGACCGATAAGTGCATTTGGAAGCATTAATTCCCTCGCATGTGCAGGGGGTTCGGATGAGCCCCCCATGGTTTTTCGCAAATAGCTCGCGCCAAAACCGGCCCACCGCGACGAAACCTTAAGTACCCTCGAGTTGATCAGGTTTACACCTACTCTGAAAATTTCATGACCTTGACTCAAAAGACCTTTGACCTGTGACCTGATTCTCGAGACCATGTTCGGCCGGACTCGCGATTTGGCGTGTCAGCTCACATTATCCACGCGTTTCCAGTCTTTTTGTGATTGTAGACGTCCAAACATGTGAAATTATGTTCGTCCCATGCATTACGGTGGGTGTGAACTGTGAAGGTCACCTGAAGGTCAGGTCATGTCATTAACCTTTGATGACCTCGGTTCACTTTTTCGAGTATTGCATGTTTCTTGGGTAGTTTTTCGGGCTGATTTCGAATTTAGCATCCATTTGAACGTTTACGAAGTAGTTTTAGTGCCTTCGTAACATGCTACGACGCCGTCAGTGGTTGTTGACAACTACTTTGGATAGCCGGTAGGACGCCTAATGGTTGACCTGACCTGACCTGACCCGATCTGGCCTAAATGCATGAAGAAATCATCTGTCATCAAAACTAACATGATATTCGTGATCAGCACCCCGAAAAACCCGTTAACAGCTTCACTTTACGCAGTTCTAGCAGGTCCCGATCTTCCCGACTTTTGGAACATTGACCTGACCTGGAAGGTCAGCCAATGACCTAGGACCTTAACCCGGCAGTTGCTGGGGTATTTCGCCACCCACCGTTTGCTGGGGGGGGGGCGTTAAACGCCCCCAGCCGATAACTCGAGAACCAATAGGCGCAGCGAAACGCACGAGGCGGCAAACGAAAGAGCGCGACGAGACGCTTCAGATGAGTACTTTAAAGTTGAATTTTGAGGTCACAGGTCGGGTCAAGGTCAGGTCAAACACCTGAAATCGGGCTTTCAGTAGCATGGACTTCAGGACTTCGCAATGGGCGCCTCTCGCCATAAACTCTGTCAAAACGGTGCACAATCCATCTTATAAGGCCAACAAGAGTGTCAGCTCCATGTAGGGGTCAGTCAAGCATAGGTCAGGCTCAGGGTCAAGGTCAGGTCAACCGGGTAGGCACATATCCCCGAAAATCAAAACTGATATTCGCAGCCTGTGACACATGTTTTATAGGTAATTTGGGGCGTAGAACACGATGGTGACATTCATTTTATCATATGTGTACGTGTTTGGCTCAAAAAGTTCAATTTAAGAAATTCATGTACCATGGTCGTGAAGTAGTCACGAAAAATTGCCAAGATTCAGTTCAAGATTATGGAAAATTCGGAACAATAATCAATAATCGAAGATAGTCATTTGATTGACCATGGTATTGGCAGTCTAATGGCGTTTACGGCATGTCTGTATGTCTGTTCTGTGATTTTATATGATTTTTTGAACATATGCCGTTTTTGGTCGAAAACTCAGAAATCATGACGTCACTAAAACCTCGATATCTCAAAAATTTTCCGACCGATTTTTTTGAAACTTTGTCACAATAAACTTCAATCAATTCCCTACAGGTACCCAAAATTTGGCGCGCCTGCGGCGCGCCGTTTCTATGCTATGGCCCGGCAAAAAAAGTGGGGGCGTCTAACGCCCCCCCCCCCCAGCAACTCGCGGGTTAAAATTGGGTATCATCGGCTTTCTCTCGTCACGGGCAACATCCTCGTTTTTTCCACGAAGCTCTTGCTCGATCACCCCCCCCCTCCTTCCTCCCTCTACACATTAGAAGCTGGAAAACGCCGCACAATTGCAAGGGTTAATATTGTCAATATTGACTACCGCAAAAAGTAAAAGCGGCCAACTTAGCCATTTTCGAAGATATCGGGCTAAAAATTTTGACAGTGGGTTATCGGCTCGGTATGTGTTCAATCACATGCTCCATTTCCTTTTTTTTCTTCAGCACAAATGTAAGTTTTGAAGACCATCACAAAAGCAAATGCTTCGAAAGATGGATAGTGGGCAACATATCCTGAATTTGCCGTGCTGCATGGAAAGTAGTGTTGATGAGAAAAGGGGTTTTTGGTTCAGATTATTGTGGGTGCAGAATACATTGTCTGCACCCACTGGAGAAATATTGTGGGTGCAGCTGCACCCTTGCACCCATGGTTCCTACGCTTATGTCAATTTGCACATATTCCATTAGCAAGCAATAACACACTATTGCTCTACACCACACAGCTTGCATAATTCAACTGTTAGCTAGCAGTCACTACTGATACTCACTAATACCACTAATTAGTCCATGTTGTCAAGTCATTGCTGCAATATGTGATGTGCTCACCATTGCCTTTCAGTACCTTGTCAGCCAAATACAAAAGCCCTGTGCCTCTCCATTAGCACTATTCCCGTTCTAAGCAGGATGGTTGGCAGCAGGTTGGTTTGCTGCAGTGGAACCACCAGTCTTCCCCTGGGGGTTGTGCTGGGCTTCAGGCTGTGGCCACAGCTCAGGGAACCCGGAGCAGCACACAGACTCTTTGCCCCATGTTCGACAGCACTCTTTCAGTCTGTCTATTTCTTCCTGACACTTATCTTCTTGGAACTTTTTACTGTTCAAACACTTTTGAATCTCACAAGCATATTTCTTACATGGGTCCTTCTTTGGCATTTTTAGATTGCTTTGTATGCATGTATTTATGCTGTAAACAAATAGCACTGTTACCAGTATAGCGCCTTTTGGGGCGACTAACGGAGCGAGCGAGGGGGTGAGTCTTGCACGTGCGAAATTTCGAGGGGGTACCTCCAACTGACTTGTGCACGGCACCCTACTGACCGGTTTCTAGCGATGTGCCAAATTTGAGCACAATCGGCCCAGCCGTTCTCGAGATCTGGGAGCGGCACCCTGCACGTGCGCACGTGCAAAATGGGTCCCAACTGACTTGTGCACGGCACCCTACTAACTGGTCCCTAACCGTGTACCAAATTTGAGCGCCATCGGTCCAGCCGTTCTCGAGATCTGGAAACGACCCCTGCACGTGCGCACGTGCAGCAGCACCCCAACTCTGGCACATGGATATGCAGTGCCTAGTGGGTGCCTACCTACATGCCAACTTTCAGCGCAATCGGCCAAGTAGTTACCGAGATATTGCAACAATTACAAAACGGACACCTCTTCGTTTTGCACGTGGCACGTGCATAAGGGGTCACCCACATGCATCAGGAATAGTCCAATACTTGGTAGAAGGAATGAAGCTACCCTACAAAAATTACCGCGTGTAAATCGGTCAAGTGGTTGCTGAGATATAAGCCTCGCAAAAGCGTGACCACGGCCGGCCGGCCGGGGCCGGCCGGCCGGCCGGCCGCTCATACTCAGAAATTTCCGTTAATCTAAGGAAAGACTACGCTCGCTTCGCTCGCTCCGTAACAAATAGTTACAGTGTTAATCTATGACAGATATTGGTCACAGACAACACCATATGAGTCCCTATCAGCTAATGAAGAGACACTGGGCTTTAGAGCTAGTCTAACTAGCCACTGAAGGCAATGGTTAGCACATACCGCCATGATACCGCTGCATCAGTGGGACTGATTTAGTGATTAAGTGTCTAGATCGGTACTTGTATCTCTTCATGATCTTAGGTGGTAACTTATATAGTTTCATGCTTAGATTTATACATTTTATAGGTATTAAAGGGACAGTATCACCATTTTGATGAAATTTGACATTGCATAGGCCCCACCTTTCTGGTCCGGGAACTGAAGACCGATCCTCGAAGCTCCGCACCGTTATCCCGCTATCGCCGCTCAAAGTACGAAAGGTGTACCACACTTTGAATCGTGCTTCACTATCTTCACTGTTTAAATGTTTGCGCCGTTTTGAATTGACCGCCAGTAATAAAACTTTTACCCTGGTCATTTCATCAAATTTTATAAAGCCAAAACGTTTTTCGCACTTATTCATCACCGTTAAATTCATTAAATAGTCGTAGGCAATTTCCGCTGTTTCCTTCGGATTCTAGCGGCTCAACAAAGGAATTCCTCCAGCTTGAATCACAATCTCCCTCCAATGTATGACGTTTATCACGTGATTGTCACGTGATATTTTCTCCCATTGTCAATTGGCACGTCCAATTGTCACTCTCTCCAATTTTCACGTTATATTTTTATAGGCAATACCTAAGGCTACCTCTCCCTAAGGACAACTCAATCAGAAGAACGACCGCGTAAGCGTAGCGTCAATAATGTATTATCTGCGCCAGTTCTGTAGTAGTTTTGCATGCTTCCAAACTGGCGGCCATGCTTGTATAGTGGTGGTTCGCTCATGAAAATGAATCATGAAAATGAAATGGGGTTGCAATATTTTTCACCGAGTTCGGTCCTCATACTATGTTTTTCTGATTCAGAAAAATAAGAAATGCTAGTTAAAAAATAATGAGCTCCATACATGGATTTTTTTTTCGATGATACTGTCCCTTTAACTGCTGTTTTGATTTGGTCCCCAGTGACAATAAGTTGTCCAGTGTAATTTAATAAATGAATTCAGTTAAATTAATAGCGAGAATATCAAAAACATATCTATTAAATTTAATGCTTACATGCTTAAGACTTCAATTAGTTACAGTGCCAACTGCCAAGGACACTGGCCCCTTTTTACAGAATTTACCAATATCTGTTATTGCGTAAGCTACATTGCCATTGACTATCTACTACTGTACAACCATGAGACATTAGACTATTCTATAAATCACAATGAATGACTGTAAGGTCAACCAATGTTTGAGTGCAGTCTTCCAACAGCAGAAAAAGAAGCGGAAGAGCAGGGCCCTGTTTCACCGGTGATAGCAGCAAGCTGCTATCACGTTTCGCGAGCTGACGTCATGTCGTGACGCCATACTGTTGTCGTAATGGGTAGTTCCGGCGCACGATTGCCGCGACCTTGGCCGCGGCATTAAGTGACGTATGAGGCTCTAAAAGTAAGAGTTTACGCAGTCATGATAGTATATTTATTTTTAATATATATATTTTTTTAATATAATGTATTTAAAATAAGTTGGGTTTAAGGAAAATTTGGACGTAAACTTCGAACATTTAGTTGATGACGTAAAACAATATTGCGGCAATCGTGCGCCAGAATTGCCCCTTACGTCAGCAGTATGACGTCATCACATTACGTCAGCTCGCGCAATTTGATAGTAGCTTGCTGCTATCACCGGTGAAACAGGGCCCAGGCGGACATTTAAATACATGTCATCAGTCATAGGGGACGACGGTGAAAACAGGGCGCCTGGGGTGATTTGATCAAGGTTCATGAAATTCACACGTGACGTTTAGCATGTAGAAGGCCTACCAAGGGAGAGAAGCTCCAAATGTCACGTGACTAATATGCCCTCCGGCGCCCTGATTTCACCGGCGTCCGTCATAGGGGTCTAGGAATCTTGCACCTTACAACCTTTGCAAGCACATGAGAGCAGAACGTGAGGGCCAATACAAGGCCATCTATACATGGCTAATATAGAAAATGTCAAAAATTGTCAGAGCAACGGTATAACTGGGAAAAACGTCAAAATGAAATAAATAAACGACAGCCAATAATACCTCTGTTCTGTATGTTTATTTGCAGATCATCCCCATATGCTGCATCAGTCAAAAGAGCTCAAAGATACATATACTGTTCGAACAGTTCGAATAGCAAGCTTCTAGGTTTTCCATAGACAGAACCTACAAGTTGCCTAGCAACAAGCAACTTTAGCTCTCAATCGCCTGGCAAGTGGCAACAAATGCAACAAATGGGCCCTGTTTCACCGGTGATAGCAGCAAGCTACTATCAAATTGCGCGAGCTGACGTAATGTGATGACGTCATACTGCTGACGTAAGGGGCAATTCTGGCGCACGATTGCCGCAATATTGTTTTACGTCATCAGCTAAATGTTCGAAGTTAATGTCCAAATTTTTCCTAAACCCAACTTCTTTTAAATACACCATATTTAAAAAATATATATCAAAAATATATATACTATCATGACTGCGTAAACTCTTACTTTTAGGCTCATACGTCACTTAATGCCGCCGCCAAGGTCGCGGCAATCGTGCGCCGGAACTACCCATTACGACAACAGTATGGCGTCACGACATGACGTCAGCTCGCGAAACGTGATAGCAGCTTGCTGCTATCACCGGTGAAACAGGGCCACGGTCGCTGCTCGTGGTTGCTCATGCGTCGAATATAATAGGGAATGCTCCTGAAAATTAATTCGGTTCAATTTTTTAGTATCTTTTAGAGCATATTTAAAAATATTTTTTGGTGAATTAACTCAACATTCTGTTGTCTATTTACAAAGAAATTGCAATATTAGTCAAATTATCAAATATGCCCTTAGGCAGCATGACGTCATTTTTTAGTGGACCTCTCGCGTTCGCTACGTCCATTCGTTGGAGACGCTCGCTCAAGGCCGTTTGAAGTGATTTATTTATAAATTTCAAGGTGATTTGTTGGGTTAGCAATTCTTCCAAGATGGAAGAGGGGTTTGTGAAGGCAAATTCGCTGAACTTGCCATCTGTAGACATGTTTACAGTCTCAGATTTTTTAAAGGGACCCTCCCACCTTAACATTAGATTTGAGTTGAGATAGCCAAAAAGGGGTCCCTGGCTCACAATTACCGGTTTCGGCACTCACAACATCGAGAAATGCCTTAAATCGGAAATATTGAATTTCAAAATTGCAGCATTTTGATTCAGAGGGGCTAATGCATAGGAATACCCCTCTGAATGTGTGACGTCAGCGCAGATATCTAACGATTTTAAATCTTTTACTAAAACGTTTGGTAGCACGTGGTGGTATATGTTGCTTTGCGCGCAACAAATGCCGCACTTTCAAATAAAGTCGGTAGGAACAGCGGAGATCCCAAAAAGTAAACAAAAGTAAAAGTCTAATATCTTGAAAACCGGTGAATATTTTTCGATGAAATTTGGTAGATATTCGTTTTCGCTCTTTCTGAACCGAGCGACATCACTTTCATGCCAATTCGTTAACTTTTTGAAGGTGGGAGGGTCCCTTTAAGGAACAACGAGTATTACGTATCTGCTGAGTTCCGAATGACAAAACTGGAAAGTTTGGTATTTGTACCTAAGGCCTGTACACATTCAGCTGTTGTGCTGTTGTCAGCTGAAATAGGCTCCGCCCACCGCTTCTGGCTGACGGAACTGTATACATTTGGCTGATGAGAAATGTCAGCACTGGCTGGCTGTTTACAAATATGGCGTTGTAAACAAATATTTCGTCTCATCTTCATGTTCTTTATTAATACAATACTTAAGCAGTTAGATATATTATCAAAATATTTACAGACAATGTGCGAAAGTAATAAGTATTTGTCTTGTATCGACAATTAATTATGAAACCAAATATATGTGAATAGCGCCAACATGGTGTCCAAATTTCATTTATCTGCAGTGCTCAATAAAAATATGGCACGTGATTTGCTTTCATGCGCCACTACCAGTGTCTAAATGCGTCATTTATGGCTTTTGCTGACGGCTCGGCATCTCTTCACTTGCTTTCTCGTAGCAGCACAGCCCGTCAGCCCATGCTGCCGGCAGCAGAGAGGTGACGTCATGTTGCAAGTGCAACAAAACGTCATCAATTTTTCAGCCAATAGTGTGAGTGATTTTCGGCTGACAACAGCACAGCAGCTGAATGTGTACAGGCCTTATCTACCAGGGGTGGAGCTTCCTATTCACTTGGTGGGGCGCCTGCCCCACCAACTTTCCATTTTGCCCCACCAATAAGCGTTTTGCCCCACCAACTTAAGCCGATTTGCAGGACTTTACTGCTTAGCAAACCTATGTTTTTCGCATTGAGGTGCTTTGAAATGTCTGTGTAATGCAAAATATTATCTCTGTAATGAAAATAATTGATTCATTGTTGAATTTTATCTAACTTAACAATCGGACATTGTAGGTTTGACAACTTTTTGCCCCACCAACTTTCCTGGAAAAGCTCCACCCATGTAATCTACCTTTCTAAAAAGCTGCTTTGGCCTTTTCTGTTTTAGTTCAAGGTACATTTTTGGTGATCCCAATCCCTTATGATACAGTAACGGCCTATAGCATTCTGGTCCTCACCCCATCGCAACACCTGGTCCCCATATGACTGATTATATGGCTGTGTATAAGCTTGTGTTAACACAGGAATCAGGAATATAGCCCACTGTTCAGACTAGGTCATTCCATGATAGTTTTCAGACTTAGATATGTGAAACTGCATGATGCAACAGGCCATTTGGATTCACTTGCTTCCTGATTGCTCAGATTTTTACGCAAATTTAGTCGATGTTGTAAAAGGGTGGATTCCTGTGTCAGTGTGGTGTTTCAAAGCATGCTGCCAACCCCTGCCAGCAACCTGATGTCACACTTTGGTAGTGTTGGAGCAATGGGCTTGATGATATCATGATGTCATCGCTGCCGGCAGTGCCTGGCAGTGTGTCATCGACACAACGCCTCGAGGTCAGAAACCAAGCTAGTACCTCATCCATTGGCACTGACACGATGCGCCCAGCATCCTGCTCGATGCTCGACCTGGAGAAGCCTCGGGCTGCTGACGTACTGCATGGCCGCGTCCTGGAGCTGAGGGGTGGCGGCGTGCCGCGCTTGACCTGTGATCGGCTGTGTGCTCGAGACTGGTTCCGAGACCTGGCCCGCCACCGACGAGGTCTCCTGAGCCCTGGCCGCTGAGCGGAAGATGCGAGGCTGGGGAGAGGCGACGTCTGCCTGGCGCGGACGACTGCGTGAGCTGCTCGGGCGAACGCTGAGTGGAGAGGTGTAGCGGATGATGGACTATAGTTTTGCGCACGGTTTCGGCATTACGGTTCGCCGGCGCGGTGCGTCTGTACGATATCTGAGTGACTGGCCGGAGAACGGGCAGGTGACAGTGCATGGCCACGGAGGCTGAGTGCTGGATGCTAAAGCTGCTGTGTCTCTGCTTGCAGAAACCCCACTTTGCTGCATGCGCGAAGGCTGTGTTTTGTGCCATTCCTTCTGTTTCTATCTTTTCCTTTGTTTGCCTTTCAATGTATCCTTCCCTTTACGTCTTTCATTTTTGTGTACTATAAAGCGTTCAACGTACAGATTAGCATGTGGGAGTACAAAGACCGCTACAACTTTAATAACCACGTCCTAAATGAACCCAATCAACCGAGAAAACCACGCGGTACCGGCACTTCAAGGTCCGCCGCGTCAACGCGGCGTGGCGTTAGCTAAAAAATGACGTCATGGCGCCTGAGGGCACACAGACATGCCCGGAGGGCAGGAATTGAATTGCTTTGTTCTAAGAAATGATTAAAGAAAGAAAAATTTTGTAGACATATTCGAAATCGGAAAAATCAACTTTATATGTGGGAATATCCAACACAAACCCAGGAGCGGACTCTATTTTCCGTTTTTTACGTCACAAGAGCGCCAAAAACAGTTCGCAAAAAGCTACCATATGAAGTACCAAATACCGACAAAAGTAGAACAGTAAAGGAATCTTGAGTAGAACGGTTGAATAAAACTGTCATCTCATAGATTTCTATCTTAACACCCACATCATATTTTGTGGCGTTGCGTGAGCCTAAATAAGCAAAAAATGAAAGATATAATGTCACTAAATGCAAATGTAGCTACAGGTAGTCGGCCGTCGCTAGGCGTCATCTCCCCGAAAACTGTGCTGGCCTTCTGACCGCGCCTGCGGATATTCAGTCTGTTCAACCCAGGAAGTGGACTGACGTCTTTCAGTATGCCCCAGCACAAACTGTCGACTGGCCACGACTGTTCCTTCGGTGCGATAGCGAGCCCGGTGAGGTTAGGCGTGCATATGGCGCTGCAAGTTGAGCTGGGCGAGCCCACTCTGTCCTCTGAGCGTGTCGGTCCGGCCCAGCCCGGATATGCAGTAGCGTGATTTTGTGGTGTTCTGAGAACACCACAAAATCACGCTGTTCTCGTTTTCGGCGGCGCGCCGTGAGCGAGTCGGGAGCGCTGTCTCGCCGACCGCGGCTCCGTTTAGGCTGGACGTCCCGAGGATCCAGACCGCAGAGAAGTCGGACCAGGGCGGCGTGGCCCACCGAGTCGGGACCCGACACCGAGGTAAGAACTAACGGTGTACATACAGCGATCATATCTGACCACCGCCGGCCAGCCCAGTCAACAAAACTAAACAAAAACAAACAGAACATAGTAATGGACGTTCGTATTCAACCATTGCAAACAATTGTTGACATCATGTTGGTGGGCATAAGTTGCGCAGTCCCCGCCGTGATTGTGGCGGCCGGCCCCGCCGGAGTGTTGGGCAGCCGCTCGGCCGCCGTCTCTCTCCACAATGATCGTGAAATCGGTGAACAGGGTCGCACCGTCTGGGCTCAGACGTCACTCAGATCACAGTTGGTCCACTTTGACAGTAGCTCGTCCGGTCGTCTGCCGGCCCCGGCCCTCCGCCCCCTCCCACCAGAGACGCACGGCGTGCTAGTACCAGCCAGGATTCTCTATTGCCTGTACTGTACACAAAATATAGTCTCATTTACAAAACTTTACAAGGCCTTGGTTGCCGATCTAAAACTGCAGCGGTAAGGGCAGCGTCCAACCAAGACCAGAGAGCTCTGATGACAATCAAGGGGCATGATCACACTGGGCGAGCACGGCCAACCATACCGGAAAATTTGACGGAACGCTTGCTAAACAAGGCTAGGCAGATGCTGAACCAGCGCAGCACAGATACGCTCCGCGCGGCCCTGCGGGCGGACCGGGGCCACGCGGCCCGCCGGCCACAAGCTCCGCCCGCGGCGGCCGCTGAGCGCCGGGGGCTGGCCGGCGGCCGCCGTCTGCACAGTTTTGGATACCAAAACCAGTCCAGTAGGCTGGCCGGCGCGCGCGCCATGCTCGAGGTACCTGTTGAACAGCTGAATGGCGCCGGGCGCCGCGCGCCCCGGCGCCCCCACGCCCGCTCACAGTCGCACACACAGACGCGCGCACGCACACGCACACCGAGGCGCCTGTGCGGGCTGCTGAGGAGTGGGCGCCGACACACTATCACCGGGCCGAGCGCCGCTCACATACTCTCCATCTCTCTCGCACACTCTCACTTCCCGCGCGCGCGCACCAGTTAACATCTAATAAATACATCCATGAGGGGCGGGTGGCGACCGCGCCGCACCGGTCAGGGCCCAGCGCAGCCGGCAGAGCGGCCACGGCGCCCGTCAGTAATTGCTCAGGTTCTCCTCAAATTGTGCAATCAAGTCTCTCTGTGAGTTCATGTTGATTTGGCTTGTCATCTGTGAAAAGATGGAACAACGGCGTCAGCACCAATTCGCGCTGTGACACAGATAGGGCAGCGATAAAAATCGCACAGAACACCAACACTAGTGATGACAAATACAGAAAATCGAAATACCGATACCAAACCAAATACCAACCAAAACCGTAAAGGAATACCGAAACCGAACCAACTTGGAAACATGAAGGGAATACCAACATTTTACCAAATTCTCAGCCTCTTATACATAGGTGAGAGGCAACAATACCAACAAAATATCAAACACATTTGAAATACCAAACCAACTTGGTATCGGTTTGGTATCGGTGTATCAAAAAGTTGGTATCCGATTGACATCTCTAATCAACACACAACTCTGATTTCAGTTGGCTAATTTGGGGGGGGGGGCGGGTCGAACACGGGTCATTTGCGCTCAGGACAAGACTTTAGACAAGCAACCTCATGGTGCGTCCCCTGAGGTTCATTTGGGATGGGCCGTATTCACGTCGATCATTTTCGTAAGAATTTTCTTACGCATGACCTAATTCTTAGGATTTTTTTTTTTAATCACGTGAACTCCGTCGATAAAAACTTACGAAGTGTCGACGTGAATACCAAATTATACTTAGGAAAGAAAATCGACTTACGAAGTCGACGTGAATACGGCCCCAGAAATCTATCGAACTGCACTCAGTCATGCCTCATATTCATTAGCGTTCAATTAGTCATAATCATGTCTGAATGGAGCCAGCGGAGGCCGATACCTACACAGCGGTGCCCCTGACGGTCCTTCCCGCCCTAACTTGACTTACCGCCTCGCGTCGCCGGCGCTCCTGCTCCCTCATCCTGGCGCGCTCCCGGTCTCCGGCGGCCGCCGACGGCGTGCTGACCGCCGGCGGCGGCGGCGGCGGCGGCGCGGACTTGGGACTGGCGCTGGCCGGCGGGTGGGCCGCCTTGGCCGCCGCCGCCGCCGCCTTGGCGGCCGCCTCGGCCTTGGCGGCGGCGGCGGCCTCGGCCTGTTTGCGGGCGGCCTCCTCGGCGGCCTCCTGCTCCTGCTTCAGACGACAGAGCCGCTCGAGCAGCTCCTCGCCCTGCCGCTCCCGGCGCCGCTCGGCGTCCTGCCGCTGCCGCTCGCGCTCGGCCGCCTCCTTCTGCACGCGCCGCTGCTCCATCTGCTCCGTCAGCTGACGTTGCTGAGAACGGACAGAGCCGCGGTGTCAGCCAACTGCTAAGAGTCGACACACATTACAAACTCCCTACAGACAGCCATGACGGCCCGACACACGTTCAAACCTCCGACACACGAACCAGCCAGGAGTTAGTCATGCCCTCACCACGTCACATCCCTATCTCCAGACAGCTACGCCAATTATAGCGCTGAATACACACCCAGAAAGGTCAAAACTTCACCACACAGTGCCAATGAAACCGGGGCGACTCCCGTCACAACCCCGAAACTTTTTGCTCCCCTCCCCTCCCACACAGACACGACACGACACGGAGCGGCGCGGCGACTCACCCTGTCTGCCTTCTCCTTGGCTTGTTTTTTGAACTGCTGGAACGCCGAGTCCATGTGTGACGGCTGGATGTTGATGGGCGTGGTGGATGGGGTGGCGGCCGACTGCGCCAGCGTCGACCACGAGCTCACGTTCTGCACAGCACACACCGGACGGCACCGAGTACAGGTCAGCCCGCGAGCATGGAGGGGTGGTCGGTATTTACAAACAAACTGGAGGAGAAGTCCAAATAAAGAAACATGAGCTTCGTAACGAACGTTCCAGACAAATATAGCTCAGCCATATTATTCAGTAGTCAGGCCAAGGAAAGATAATGATGTCTGAGTTGAAAGTTCACTAAGATAATGAGTTTAACCCGCGCACCGACGGGGGTCTGCGCCAACTTCGCACCGACGGGGGGAGGGGGGGGGGGCGGATGACCGCCCCCCCCCCCTGAGATCTCGAGAACGAAGCAAGATAGCGACAAGCGGTAAACAGCATCGGATACGCACGGTCAAGATCTACAATTTTTACTAAGGTCATTTTCAGGTCAGGTCAAAGATGACGTCACAGGGGTCGAAAAAGTCAAAATGGCGGCGCTGAATATGGAGAGAGTTTTTCTCGAATAACTTTCGAATTAGTCAAGATAGGAACAAACTAAGGGCAGCATCGTGATCCTCTCGTCAATCCGCATCGAATGATATATATGTTGACCTCGAAAGTTCAAGGTCAAAGGTTGACCTCAGGTCACGTGACCTCGAGGTCATCATGTATATCATTCGATGCGTCTTGACGAGCTGAACACAATGAGACCATCCACGCGTCTGTATCTTGTTCCTGTACGGAGTTATTGGCCAAAAACCTTTGGTGACCTTTGATGACGTCACATGACCTCACAGCTGCCCAACAGCAAAACAGACCTCAAGGTAGTGAAGGTTGATCGTATATGAAGTCATGTATGGTATATGGGGCCATTCCGACCCGTTTTAGTGGTAAAAGCAGGGAGATGATTTTTCCCCCATTGACTTATAATGGGGAGGTCGCGAAATTTACCTGACCTTAGGTCACCGATATCAAAATTCCGAGATATACAAATTGTAGCTACTAATGACCTAATAACATCCTGCGACTTTCAAAGGCCTCCGACATCTACTGTAGCTCTGGCACGGTGACAAAGTTGCAAAAAAGTGACTTGAGGTTGGGTCATTCAAAGTGACCTGGTGACCTGACCTTGAAAGGTAGGAGGTTCAAACTTGCACACCATGTGTAAAATTGATGAGGGAATATAGTCATACCAAATTTCGCGGCGCTACGCGCCGCGGTTTTCCCGCTATTCGCGAAAAAC